CCCCAAAACCCCAAAACCCCAAAACCCCAAAACCCCTTCACGGAATTATTAAATTAATTAAAATGGCATTTATAATCAGGTAAGGCTCTTTTGAAGATAGTTGGCTTTTTAGAGTTGTTTGAAAGGAGTTTTGGGTAATGATTTTGATAGGCAAGCCAAGCTGGAGCAACTGTTAGAGAAAGAAATGACGGAAAATAAAGAAAGGAGAAGAAATATTAGTGTTTGGAGCAAAGGAGAAGGTTTAGATAGCGAAATTGGACCAGAGGTGGTGGTGTAAGTTTATTTTTGGAGTAGTTTAGATAGGATTTGTGTTGAATTATTGGCAATTTTTGGAGGTAATTGTTAGAAAAGTTCTTGTTTAATATTATTAACAAATAAATTCTTAAACTATATCAAATTTTCTAATATTTTCATATTATTTTCCTATCTAGTCCTATCTAATCCCAACCACTTATAGAAAAACAAGTGGAATTCCATCAATTCATAGCAAATCAAGGACTCTGATGAGCAACAGAAGTAATTTCAATCGATCAAAGCTCAGTCCAATCAAGCCAAAAGCTCCAAGCACAACACCTAAAATAAACAGAAGTTATGAAGATCTCGAAGAAATGATTGAGATCGCAATGAGAGGAGATTACGAGCCCTCTAAATTATCTACTAAGAAGAAGTCTCAGTTCTCTAGAAGGACTCAATCCCATGCTGTGATAGATCGGAAAGTTTCTGTAGTCTCAAATTCCAGCCACGATTCCAGATTCATCCCCACAATGAGAGAGATAAAATACCTCTTCGAAAAGCTAGTCCGTACCAAATATGAGAACGAAATGAAGCCTGACCACGAGAAGATGATGGAGCAAGACTTCTCAGTCAATGACGAGTCCCAGAAGAATTTGTCTAGCGTAAAAGATGACCAGTCCTCCTCGAGGCCCCAAACCGGAGAAACAGCTGCTGAGAAGCATCAGAATTATAAAGAAGTTTCTAAATAAAAAACTTCTCGAATTTGGCAAATCCATTGCTGAGAAGAAGCCTAAGGACTTCAGAAATAAAGATTTTACGTTAAACTTCAAATTTGGAGTTAGTGTTTTGAAGGAAGAGTTAGATTTTGAGCCCCAAGGGACACTTAATTTCTCAGACGGAATCTTGCCGCCTCCTCATCATACTAATCTAAGCAAGATCGCTGACCCCAAGAATATGGAAAAGCGACTTTCTCAGTGTAGTAAAATGAAACAAGAAAATTTAGGCAAGAAAGATCTCTCTTCGACAGGAGAAATCAAAGATTACTACAACGGTAATGATAATTACCAGGATGATATCCCATTCGATTTGTATAATGTAGTTGAGCTTGCTAGGAGGATGGCAAAGCCATACACAATTCCTCAAGTATCTGACATCAAAAAGATAGATCAAGAAGCTATCAACCTTGATATTCAGAGAAATCATCAGCGTGACTTCAACAGCAACTTTAACCCAGATTTTCAAAATAACGAATTGTCACATGAATTTAATGTGATTGAGAACCCATTGAGATACTTTAGCAATAAGAATTTCTCGGAGCCTATAAATGACAATGGGGCTAGATCTAGTCAACCAAATAGTCCTAATAATCGCTCCAGAGCTCAATTTAGAGTCTTGAGGTAAGTTTCAATAAGATAATTTTATAGCGACCAAGGTATTAAGCTAAATAACTCAACTAAAAAGACAGCTCAAAAACAGAAATCAGTCCTTGCCCAATCAAGAAAACTAAAAGCACATAAACTAAACCCATTGACTAAAATCGCAAGGCTGTCGGCCAATGGGCTGGTCGCGAGCCGGAACTGAAAGCAGCATTGAAAGGCTATGAGCCAGCCTCGCTTGCAAAACTCTAAGGCTCTAAATTCTCACAAAGGTAAATTTGCTCTTAAAAGCCGGGTTCTAATCATGAACATTGGAGTTTTAAAACCAAAGAGAATGGGGAAAGTTTAGGCAACATGGCTAGGTAGGGGGCTCAGATGGAAAATGGGATAAAATAGCCATAGAAAACTTTGAGAATTTTTGAAAAGTCTGAACAGATTTGTGTAAAATAGTTAGGTCCAAGGTTTTACATAGAGGAATAATCAGTTAAAATTTTAGCATAAAGATTGGATGGTGGTTAATTACATGAGTTGAAATTTTGATTAGATCCTTAAAAGTTGGAAATAACCTAAAATTCAATTCTAAACCAATGTCTAAATGCTATTAAGGGATTATAAAACTTTAGTGCCTGCCAATGATGATCCGACCATTCCATACTTTCTACTTCCATCAGGAAAGAAGTGTCCCACTGCCTCATACCCAGATTTAACCGTCCCAAGCTCATTAAAAACAGGTAAGAATTAAATATTTCAACTGAATTTCTAATTTTTTCTGAAATCTTCAGAATAAACCAGGTTTAGGTTGGACTCAAGAAGGAAAATTGGGAATTCCTAATAGAAAAGATAGGCAATCTTATGAGAAAATAACTGAGATCAGGACCCAGCCTGCCTTCATTAAGTCAGCCAGGATGTTCAAGAAGTTTGTAATATCTAACAACCAGAGAGTCCCAATCTTTCTTAAAAATACAGACCTTCAATAAATTTTACGTAATTTTGAAAGATTTTATTTCAATAATTTAATTACTTCCAGGGGTTTTGGGGTTTTGGGGTTTTGGGGTTTTGGGGTTTTGGGG